AGTATCATCATGGTCATGTATCATCATCATGTGTTTTTATGATTAACTTGTAACAATATGTAGCATTGTGTTATCGTCATTAACACATGAGTACTTAATACCATGGTTCGCACAGGCCTTGAAAAGTCCTTAAAAATGCATTCGTTACTTGAAAACTCCTTGAATTCTAAAATTTTGATTTTTGTCCTTGAAAAGTCCTGGAATCTTTCTTTTGACTCATTGAATAATTCATTTTTATCCTGGAATTTCTTGGGTACTATCTAAAATATATTTTTTCATCTTTAGAAAGAGGAAAACCTTGGTTAAAATTACAAAAATAATTAAAATGATACATAAAACAGTAATTTCCGGTTGTTTTGGGGTATTGTGGGTAATTTGTTTATATTGATTTTTTTAAAAATGCATTCAATTTCATACTTTGAGAATATATTTAATTTTTCATATTATTGAAATGAAAATAGTCCTTGAAAATGACCATTAAGTCCTTGAAACGTCCTTGAAAATTCCTGGAATTTTTTTCTTAAATTTCTGTGCGAACCATGTAATACTGTTTGAGCCGTATACTCATGTCTGTGAATGTAGTAATGTAATAACTGTATATTATCTTTCAGATTCATACTGATGGTTAAGAGAGGCTACCGTGACCCTCCCTACCACAACTGGTTCCATGCCTTCTCTGTAGCTCATTTCTGTTACCTTGTCTTCAAGAATACTGAGATTGACAGTTGGCTAACGTAAGTCCTGACTTTTTTTATTAAATATGTACATGACAAATGTGTATTCTCATTGTCTGTGATGTTTAATAGGGACATAGAGAGGCTTGCACTGTTTGTAGCATGCTTGTGTCATGACTTGGATCACAGGGGCACCAACAATGCATTCCAAGTGACTTCTGTAAGTTCAAAGCCATGGACTCCCTTATTTCATCTATTCTTTTTTCCCTTTTCATTTTTTCATTTCTTTCTCATTTTTTCTCATTCTTTCCTTCTCATATTTTCTTATTATTTCTTTTCTTTCCTATTTTCATGAAGAACTCTACTCTCGCGGCATTGTACAGCTCTGAAGGCTCAGTAATGGAGGTATGTAGTCCTAAATTCAGTTTATTAGTGGTTATTATATGCTATTACAGTATGTCTAACCAACTTATTCTGTTTGTGTATAGAGGCATCACTTTGCTCAGACTGTCTGTATCCTGAATTCATCAGGCTGCAACATCTTCAAGAATCTCTCTGAACGAGTAAGTTAATATGGTCATGATGATAATAGTCCCCTTCACAGTTCCCTTCTCCATCTTGAAAGGTAGCCGTGCCTTTGCATCGTAGTGAGACGAACGGTGAGATTGCAATGATAGAGACCTGTAAATAATTGTTCAATGTGTTAACAGGGTTCCTGCTACTCCTTAAACTCCTTGAAAACTCCTTGAATTTAATTCACGTTTTCAAGGGCACTTGAAAAGCTCTTAAATTTTACGATTTTAGCAAAACTCCTTGAAAACTCTTGGAAACCATTGAAAGTCGGCCATGTGCAACCACCGTGTAAAGCCTTGGCATAGTTGGCTGAACATACTCCTTGAAAATTCATTTTTGGGTCCTTGTATACTCCTTGAATAGTCCTTGAATTTTAAGTGCTTACCTCAGCACGAACACTGTTAAAAAAGGTCTCTATCATTGCAAGCTCACCGTTCGTCTAACTTCGATGCAAAGGCACAGTTACCTTTCAAGATGGCGCAGGGAACTGTGAAGGGGACTATTATGGTAGTGGATGTAGCGATCATATCATGGTATTGGTGTTGGTGATTATGATGACGATTTACAATGTTAGCTAGTGGCAGACTGAGTTTTCTTGGCAATGAATGATCATGATAATCTTTGAACACTACAACCATTATGTTATAGGATTTCTCCARGGTTTTGGACCTGATTAGAACCATCATACTGGCTACAGATCTTGCTCACCACCTGAAGATCTTCAAGGACATCAAAGCCATTTGTCGTGGTACGTCTCAGCCTAATCGTAACTCTTGTGACTCCCTAGTTACCTGTCACATTATATACATCTCTTTAGCTTTGGCGCAATGTTTTCCCATTTAAGACCGCATGTCATTCCCTAGAGTATCATTTCTTTGTTTAACGGTTGTACATGAGAAGACACATGAATACAACTTAACGAATCTTATTCTTAGAKAATGGTACATGGTCTGAAATTGGAAAACTTTACACCCAAGATAAAGAGGTTTATAGATCCCTTGCAGCACGTCGGAATGCAGCTCAATTTGGAGACCATAACAATAGGTTTCCAATTCTCAGGAGATTGGAAATCTTTTAGTTTGCCCTCTGGATTGAGTTGCTTTGACGTCACATGCAAGGGGTCTATTGCAGACTGAGTGTTACTTTGAAGTCACATGCAAGGGGTCTATTGCAGACTGAGTGTTACTTTGACGTCACATGCAAGGGGTCTATTG